CAAAAGCTTGCTTTCCTAAATGGAACTTACTGTGACTAGCAATACTGTGGGAGAGTTCTCAAGTTCTGGATTTTAAAACATTGTTGTTGTTTAGTTGATCAGTTGTGTCTGACTCTTTTGCAACCCCCATGGACCCTACTAGGCTCCTCTGTCTATAGGATTTCCCGGGGAGGAATACAGGAGTGGGTTGCCATTTTCTTCCTTCAGGGGTATTTTTCAGACCCAGGGATTGAACCCTCATCTCCTGCATTGACAAGCAGATTCTTTACCACTGAGCAACCAGGGAAGCCCCTTTTAAAACATGGGGCAACAACCTATCAGCATGATTAATTCACATAATATTCCCTTGGCACACTTTTCATCTGTCAGATGGAGAAAAAAGAGTGTTTATCTTAGAAAGTTTAGGGACTAAGGAGATGTGAGAGAATGGTAAAGTACTACGAGAATTCAGTTGTTTAATTGGCATTTGCCAAGCAATTGATGTCAGCAAGGAGGCAGCCCAGAAATACACAAAGCAGCAAAAAGAAATTTCGCCATTCAGAATTTTCTATAGGACTAATAAAGAGTTGGCTGGATACCTATAAGGCATTTTGTAAAGTAAGCACTTTGATTTTCTCGACTGTCTTAAATGAGAATTAAAAAGAATGTTTTCCATTGTCTAAAATTTGGTTTAAATGCTTAAAAAGATGGTCCATGTCTTTTGTGAGGGTTGTGAGATTTCTGGAATGTTTTAAAAGCAGCATCCTCCAGCCTTCCCAAATGGAAACTGAAGCGTTGTTACTAATAGAGCCTTCCTGTGTTGGGTGAGGAGGGGCGCAGGTGGCTGTAGGCTCCCCTCTTTTCCTCTAAACTTCATGGCTTCCAACTTATCAGTCTCAGAAGGATGAAGAGTTGAGTCTCTCCTGATAGCATTTGAAGCTGTGGTTCCACAGAGGATTTAACGCTGTAGTTGCAGGGAGTCTGGGTATTTCAAATCTGAGGCTTAAAAAACTAAGCCATCCCCTCCGGCTTTTGCACTGATGCTGTGAAATCCATTTGAGAAACATGCTCGTGTTTTGCTACTCGTTCAAAGCTGTAAGCGTGACTTGGCATTGAAATAATAATTTATTTTTTCAAAAGCTCCCCACTGAACTACTACTTGGGTTATCTAAATACAGGTTACTTATTTGATTGGCATATGCTCCTGTCAGTTTTGCAGACTGTAAGTAATGACGGTTGCTAATGTTAGAACATTGTGGTACCGCGTTTCTCATTTCTGTCTAATTTTACACTCATCCTTGGACACTTGATGGTTCTACCTGATTGAATATTCTAGATGTAATTAGAGTCATTATATAGAAATGTAAAGAATTCTTCCTTTTTGAAATATTTTTTCTGGTTCACGCCCTTGAACCCATTTGTCAAATCATAGGAGATTCAAATCCCAAACATTTTTTTAAAAACTTTTTGACCTTTAAAAATCATCTTGGTGACTTACAGGACCAAGATTGTGTAGTAGAAGATGTTCCTATTAAATGATTTCAAGATAAGTTATATGAATGTGCTACAATAAAGTTATAATAAGGATATAGATGACTCTACTTGGTGGAATCTACTTTTATGACAGTTGTTTACAATGTTGTGGTGTCTTCACGAATGTGATTCTTTACAGTAATAAAGGAGGGCACAGCAGAGCAAGCTTCTCAGTATCTTCCTATCAGTTTAAACATCACCTGACACCACTGACTGGTGTCACAACTGGTTTTAATGAAGAAATTTGACAGTAAAAGCAAAATCATAAAAAAAAAAACTAAGTGATTCACAGGATTATGCTCACCATTTAAAATAATGCTCATCCAATTATCATGATTTAAGTGGAAAAATATTCTAATATGAACAAATGTGTCCAAATAGTCTGTTCTTTCCCAGTGGTTCATATAAACTTTGAAAAGGAAGGTTATTATACATGTGACTTAGTGTTCATTTTTTAGAAACACATATGTGGTCAATAATCTGTCAGTTATCGCTACTGTAACCCTTATTGAAGATAAGGCATTAACATTTTGGTACATATCTGTTTGGTGAAAAATCTTGACAGCACACACACTGGTGTCTAACCTACCTTTTAAAGATATCTTTAGCCTCTTTGCATGTCACTAATATTCTTTACACCATTTTAGTCTTCTTTATTGTAAATATAGAAAAGAACATAAAGCAAAAAGATACAAAGAATTTTGCATAAAATGAACACCCATGTAATCACCACCCATGTCAACAAACAGAATATTTTGAGCACCCCAGAAAACCCTTAACCATTCATATAACATAATTTTTACTGGAGGTATGACATTCATTTCTGTCTAAACAGAAATTTACTGTTTTCTACTGCCTTTTACTATTTGGCCAAGAAGTTTGTTCAGGATCTTTCTACATACAAAAACCCTGAACAAACTTTGGCCAACCTAATAGGTGAGAGTGAAAGTCACTCAGCTGTGTCTGACTCTTTGCGATTCCACGGACTACAGTCCAGAGAATTCTCCAGGCTGGAATACTGGAGTCGCTAGCCATTGCCTTCTCCAGGGGGTCTTCCCAACCCAGGGATCGAACTCAGGTCTCCCACATTGCAGGCAGATTCTTTACCAGCTGAGCCACCAGGGAAGCCCAAGAATACTGGAGTGGGTAGACAATCCCTTCTCTAGCGGGTCTTCCTGAGCCAGGAATCGAACCAGGGTCTCCTGCATTGCAGGTGGATTCTTTACCAACTGAGCTATCAGGGAAGCTCAACCTAATAGGTGTTTGTATATAAATCATTCTTCAGGATTAGCCTGTCAGGTAGTACATTGAATTTATATGATAGACTGTAGCAGTTAAGATAGTATCATGCTAGCTCATGGGTGAAGGTTAACACCAGGAATTCAGGGCCCTTGCATGGCTCAGGTGGGTGGGCAGCATCTATTATTAATGGGTTTCTGAAGAGTCAGGACAGATTTAGAGTTTAGGCTCCTCTCCAAATTCAGGGCAGATTCAGAGAGTCAGGTGGCTAGAGGAAATGAGCTCTCATTCTGAGGAAAGGGCTTTTCTACTCACCTACCATCTTTATCATTTTCTCATCTCTTTTATCACCATCTTAGGGAGCTGTGAACTGGATAATTTTGATTACATCCCAAGGCCCTGATGGCATTCAGGAGTTTAGGTGCCCTAATTACCAGGCAGCCTTAACAGTAAACATTTAGGTCACACATCTGTAAACTGTTTGAATTTCACAGGTTTAGGATTATGATGAGTGTGATTTTGAAATTTTGTATTGGCTTTAAGTGCTCTCAGTATCAAATAACAGAAAAAAAGCAAAAGGAATTTACTTTGTTGCACAAAACAAGAAGTAAAAAGGTGCTGGCCTTGGCTCAGTAGCTGGAAAATGGTAAAGCATCTGCTTATATTGTGGGAGATCTGGGTTCGATTCCTGGGTGGGAAAGATACTCTGGAGAAGGTAATGGCAACCCACTCCAGTACTCTTGCCTGGAAAATCCCATGGGTGGAGGAGCCTGGTGAGCTACAGTCCATGGGGTCGCAAAGAGTTGGACATGACTGAGCGACTTCACTTTCACTTTACTTATCTTACAGTCACAAGAGAGCTACTATTGCTCCAGATATTGCATCTGCATTCAAACAACGGGGTGGAAGAAAGATCTGGTGGTATTAGGTACACTGTCTTTGCCTTTGTATCAGGAAAGCAAAAGCATTCCCAGACACTCCCAGAAGAAAACCACTTCATTATCATTGGACAGAGTGGTGTCACTTGGCCTTTTCAGTAAAAACCTTTATTCCATACTCACAACATTTTCTTTTTCTTTCCTTCTTTTTAAGGAAGGGTCTGGATGCCACTTCTGTGTCAGTGTGGTACATAATAGGAAGAACACGTACAGGAAGAGGTCAGATACGGAGGGGACCTTGAGAACTTAAGACTTTTGTAAGTTTCTTAAGTCTTTTTGAAAGATTTTGGACTTCATCAGTAAACTTGGAGTCTGGGCCCGTCTTATTTAGATCTCAGGGATCAGAAGAACCTGATTCAAAATCAGAATGACGACTCTGGTGCTCAGGTTGAAAGGAAGAGGGCCATTCTCCCTCTGCGATAGAAAGATGATTATTTTTGAGAATAAGAGATTAAAGGAAAACAGGGGACTTTGTACCTGATGATCTTCTCTGGGAGTCATAAAAATCACCTGCCAAGATTATAGCGAGTTTGAAATGGTGACTAGAAACTGGTGAGGGATTTTAGACGATTAATTATTTCAAGTATTCATAAAGGTGGGCGGTAATTGAACAGGACAGATGGTAGAGCAGGAAGGCAGATCCCCATTTGACATCAAGTTGCCTGGTGTTGCAATCCTAAGTAATCACCGTCTTTGCTTTTCTCCAGTATCATTTTAAATGACCTGACTTATAATGTAAAAAGTGAGAATCATCCTGTACTCCGTTGACGGGAAATGTGTTGGTATTGCTGATAACGGCAACATCCAGACTGAATGCTGTGCGTGTGTGTGTTTAATGAAGAGTCAACAGACCGGGTGAAGAGAGAGCTGGAGAGCGGGGAGGCTGTGATAAACAGCAACAGCCTTCTTCACGTATGAGGACTGCTGCATCCTAGGCTTCAGAGGCCACCCTCAAATTGAGGAGGAGGCATCTTGCCGTGTGGGCTGGACTTGACCTTAGAAACCACAGGAGCCATTTGCTTTTCTTCATCCCTGACCTCTTCTCTCTCTCTGGCCCTCCCTCCTCCACCTTCTTCCCGCCCTCCCTTCGTTCCTTCATTCCTTCCCTCCGTCTTCTCTCCTGTTCCTCTCTTCTCCTCCTTCCCTTCTTATCAAAAGTATTTATTGGTTGCTCTTTATGTCAGGGATATTTTTATGTGGTATAGATACAGCGGTGACCAAATCAGAGAAATTCCTACCCTGATGGAACTGCTCTAAACCTCTGACATACATGGGATATTAGGGAGCCCGCGAGGAAGGTGAGGCAGCGGGATGGGGCTGCCTGCGGCGGACGCTTCTGGTGCCAGTGATGGGAGGTGGCGAGATACTCGCTGGGTTTTAAAGGAAAGGCCTGTAGACGCGTCGATGGCTAGGACGCTGGGTGTAAGAGAACCAGGTGTAGGTGACAACTCGGGACAACGTGAGCAGACACAGCTCAGGACGAGACGTGGGACAAAGACTGTATTTTCGGCTTTGGGAACGGAGTGACCTTGGCGTCGATTTCAGTAGCGTCCTGCTCTGCCAGGTTTCTGCGTCTTAGGAGGGCAGAGACTGCGTTTCCTGCAGTGGCCTCGGCGGGGCGCTCACAGGAGCGCTCACCAGCTTCAGGGAGGCGCTTCCTCCAGGCCCCTTGTTCAGGGGACTCGCCTGCGGACTGCGGCGCCTTTTCTCAGAGGGGAGTCCGCTCGGAAAGGCAGGGAGCGGCTCCCTCCTGTTGTGACTCCTCCTCGCGTCGAGGCCAGTAGTGAGCCCTTGGCCTTTCCGTCTGGGCTCTGTGTGATAAGTCAGGCAGGATGACCCCGAGCGGACTCCCCGTGACGTCTGGGGCCGAAGCTGCCCGCAGGGACGGCTCGCCACCCTGCCCTGAGCCCTGTGCTCCCGACCCGGGGAGCAGGCCGGTGCTGGGTCTGGCGGGGAGAAGACCTTCTGCTTGGTGGGGAAGGGCTGTCCTCTGACTCTACCTTGTTTTTTTCTGAACATGCTCATCAGACCTCGGTTTGTCCCTCCTGCATTCTGTCTTGCAGTTTACTCAGAACCCTGTCCCAGGAAAGGCGTCCTGAGGGTGGGGTCCCCTGGGGAGACACAGCAGCGTTGGTCACATCGCCTTCCATTTTCCACAGCGATTTACAGACAGTCGCACGCACATTAGCTCATCCATGGCTCCCATTGGGCAGGTGGCGGGATTGGAGTTTTTAGCAGGTCATTGACACAACCAAACTCACTGTTACTAAGAATAGCAGCAAGATGCTATATCTAGGTCTCCTCACTACTAAACATAATGTTTTTTCCCCTTATATCCACGATGACTTTGGACATATATTAAGGGTGAGTTTTCTTTGAGCCCTTGGGGGTAATGTGCACATTCATCAAAGTCTGAGCAGCAGCATGGGGAACCTCTGTAAAAAGCATGAAAATAGAAAACTCACCACTATATATTTTATTAGTCAAAACCCTGTACATTTGTTCATCCATCTCTCATTTGAAATATGTCAAATTTTTCATTCGGGCCTGAAATGTATCCAAATATATTTTCTTTGAGAGTTGCCTTTCATAGTTTGTTTTTTTTTTTTTTTTTTAAGTGCTGAATTTTGGTATGAATTTTGTTATGTTTTTTGATCAGGTGGTATTTGTGACTCTATTGGGAAATGAATAATAGCATCCCCAAACTGTTGAAGAATTTCTATAGCAGCTGCTTTCTCCTGAGTACCTCTGAATTCCACCGTCTGGGCAGAATGCATTATCTATTAATTATCACAAAATCTTAAAAGTCTCCAGCTTCAAAATGGAAACTATGTTGCACTTATTTTTATGGGAAAGAAAATCTATTGTGGTATGTGCCCAGGAGAGTCATGATGGCAGATAAAGCACGATGTGAATGACACTGGATGGGTTCCACGTGGCAGTAACTCTTATCTGCAGCCAAGACCATCAGCACGAATAGGAGGAATGTGGGAATCGGCCATCGAGGCCGTGCGTTTACTTCTAAGAGCAACTGTGCAATCTCCTTTCCAAGACCTGAGCCACCCAAGCACATTTTTCTGCATTACATAACACTATCATTTAAATGCTGTCATTCCAACGTGAAGACCAGCTGTGCACATCAGGGCCCAGCTGCTGGGGCAAGGTACCGATGAGCCATCTGGCGCGTGGTTCTGGGTGGTTAAATTCCAGCCGGGCATTTCACTCCATGTCCAGCTGTGATAAAGTCAATTGAAGGCTGCATATTATTCCTCAGAAATCACTCCTCAGGGACATTCCTCAGAAATAAATTTCCACCAGAGGTGTCATTGATTGGTTCTGTACTTTCAATGACAGCATTTGCCAAATATAAAACCAAAGAGAGAATTGTTCGGTCATTTTGTTTTCTTTGTGTGAAACAAAATAGCTAAAGAGAAGGAAGCTTTTCGGTCCTTCTGCAGATTATTTTTGTACAAGGGAAACCTGCAGTATAGCTGCCTGGCTTCCCTCATCACTCTGAGAGGAAAAGTCAGGTGCTTCATGAAGGCTCAGACAGCAAAGGCAGTAGTTAGCCCGATTTCCAGAATCATTCTGTCCGCAGATATGTGAAACAGCAGACTCGCCTCTCCCTCAGTACCAAGTGTTTTCAAGGGAAGGATCTGAAAATTCTGCCTTAACTTTTTACACATGTGATTCATCGTGGCGTCCTCAGGAAGAAAAAGACCTTGAAAAATTAGACTTGACGTTTCAGCATTTTCGGTCATTTCTGTTGCGTAACTGAAACCATGCACCTCAGATATGGACTTGAACCCACCGTCTTTTCACTGAGATCACACACCTGGTCTCAGGACTTAGTGAGGCCCAAGTGCTTAATGTCTCATTGCAAAAAAAATTCAGTGAGAGACAAAGTGATAGGTAAGAAGTGGACTTTTATTTAGAGAGAAACACACTCCACAGAGTGCTGACCTCCTAAGGAGGTGAGAGTGACCCCAGGGTGTGAGGTGGTCAGTTTTTATCGGGAAAGATCATTTTGTAGGCTAATGCATGGAGGAGTAGTCCAGCTATCTTGGGGAAGGGGCAGGGATCTTACAGAATTGGGCCACAGCCCACTTTTTGGCCTTGGAACTGTCCTGGCGACCATGGGTGTGGCATTTAGTGTACTAAAGTGTTAGGAGAGAAGGCTGAGGCTCAAGTGCTAGTGGAAGTCAACTTGGATCTGTTTGGTTCCAATCAGTTTATGTCAGGTCCTCAGGCTGTGTCATTCTTTCAAAGGTTGTGCCCTGCACCCTTCCTTCCTGTTTCATAAGGATATGGAACTATGGACTTAATCTTTATTACGTTTTAACATCTTCAAAGGAGCCGACTTTTCTTATAACTTATTACAATGTTTCACTTAGTGAATGCTCTATATGCAATTTTATCTTAAGTAAACAGCCCTGGGATATATTAATTACTGAGAGTAGAGTTATGCTATATATTAGTGTATGTTAGTTGTCAAGTACTCAGACTGAGATTGAAATAAAATAGTTTTCTTTTTCCTTAAAATTAATTTACTTTGTTCTGTGATTTCTGATTGGAAAAGCTAACCTTTTATCCCTAGCTGGAAACTTCTTTTGGGAGCTACAGTTGCTAATTTAAACACACAAAAAGTGACTATATGTGCAGAGAAATTATTCAGTAAAGACACTTCTTTATTATCTTTTCAGAATGTTTAGAGGAACTCTTGTATGGGGATTACATGAGTAACCAAAACACAGATAAGCACAGCAATGCGAGCTTCCGATGCATGTGTATCAGGGTTCCTCAGAGAGGCAGAGTCAATCGCATCTATATAAATAGGTAGATATAAGAGGAGATTTATTAGAGGCATTGTCTCGTGAGGCTGTGGGGGCTGAGAAGTCCCACAATCTCTTGTCTGAAAGCTGGAGAATGGGACAGGCAGTGGTGTAATTCAGTCTGAATCTGAAGGTGTGAAAGCCAGGCACTCTGAGGTCAGAGGCAGGAGAACTTGGGCATCCCAGCTGAAGAAGAAGAGAATTTGCTCTTCCCCCGCCTTGTTGTTCCACCTGGGCCTTCAAGGGATGGGACAGTACCATCCGCAGAGGTGAGGGTCTGCGGAATCAAATGCAGGTCCGTTCCACACATACCAGCACACTAGGTCCAGAAGTGATGTTTTACCAGCATCTGGACATCCCCGAGGCCAGTCAAGGTGACACAGAGAATTCACCACCACAGAGTACATTCAAGTTGGGTGGTTTGTTTGCCTTTCGATTCTAAATGCAGAAATTCTTAAGGAACACTTTCACTTTTATTACTGTGGGTTTAAGTTCAAGGCTTGTTTCTCAGACTCGGAGAGGTCTAAAATAAACCAGTGAGTGTATTATGTCAATTTATAGTCTCTTTGAGTCTGTTTGAAGGAGAATTTAAACAGAAAAGATTTTTAGAGTTGATACCAGGGTTATATATGCATTTTGTAATTTCTCCAAAATATATATTTTAGAACCCCACTAATACTTTGAATACAAAATAGAGAAGTCCACCCCATACACTTTATAGGTACCTGTATTCTACACCGGAATCCCAGGACCTACTGGAACTTATAGTCACAGTTGGAGTAACTCCACAGAGCGTGAAGGGGCAGGCCTTGAGGTCATAGAACTCATGAGACAAAACTAAGAAACAGCAAGGAAGAACAAAAAAAAGTTAACAAAAGTTTTAAATTTACAAAGATTTGAAACATGCACTGCACCTCTTATTTTCAGATTTAAACTTTGGACTGTTGTTAAATTTTATTATTTATTTATTTATTTATTTATTAGGTTTCTTTCTTTCTTTCTTTATTTTTATTAGTTGGAGGCTAATTACTTCACAATATTGTAGTGGTTTTTGTCATATATTGATATGAATCAGCCATGGATATACATGTATTCCCCATCCCGAGCCACCCTCCCACCTCCCTCTCCACCCGATCCCTCTGGGTCTTCCCAGTGCACCAGGCCCGAGCACTTGTCTCATGCATCCAACCTGGGCTGGTGATCTGTTTCACCCTAGATAATATACATGTTTTGATGCTGTTCTCTTGAAACATCCCACCCTCGCCTTCTCCCACAGAGTCCAAAAGTCTGTTCTATACATCTGTGTCTCTTTTTCTGTTTTGTATATAGGGTTATTGTTACCATCTTTCTAAATTCCATATATATGTGTTAGTATACTGTAATGGTCTTTATCTTTCTGGCTTACTTCGCTCTGTATAATGGGCTCCAGTTTCATCCATCTCATTAGAACTGATTCAAATGAATTCTTTTTAATGGCTGAGTAATATTCCATGGTGTATATGTACCACAGCTTCCTCATCCATTCGTCTGCTGATGGGCATCTAGGTTGCTTCCATGTCCTGGCTATTATAAACAGTGCTGCGATGAACATTGGGATGCATGTGTCTCTTTCAGATCTGGTTTCCTTGGTGTGTATGCCCAGAAGTGGGATTGCTGGGTCATATGGCACTTCTATTTCCAGTTTTTAAAGAAATCTCCACACTGTTTTCCATAGCAGCTGTACTAGTTTGCATTCCCACCAACAGTGTAAGAGGGTTCCCTTTTCTCCACACCCTCTCCAGCATTTATTGCTTGTAGACTTTTGGATAGCAGCCATCCTGACTGGCATGTAATGGTACCTCATTGTGGTTTTAATTTGCATTTCTCTGATAATGAGTGATGTTAAGCATCTTTTCATGTGTTTTTTAGCCATCTGTATGTCTTCCTTGGAGAAATGTCTGTTTAGTTCTTTG